TGACAAGCAGTACTCCACCAAATATCCCTTCTCCACCTCGGTGAAGATATCTACAGGGTGCTCTGGGGTGCTGGTGTCACCCAAACACGTGCTGACAGCTGCACACTGCATCCACGATGGAAAGGATTATCTAGACGGAGTCCAGAAGTTGCGTGTTGGCATTCTGAAAGAGAAGAGCAGACGAGGAAGGGGAGGCAAAGGAAAGGGAGGGAAAGAAAGGGGCAAAAGAAGAAAAGGAGACAAAGGTAAAGAGGAAGGACTGGAAATGGAGGAAAAGAGCGGGAGAGGAAGAGGAAGAGGAAGAGCAAAAGGCAAGAAGATCCGGAGTCGTCGAAGTATTGACTTTGGCAAACCTTCTTTCAAATGGACCAGAGTCAAAAAGACCCAGGTTCCTAAGGGTTGGTTTAAAGGTGTGTCAGATGGACTGGCTGCGGATTACGACTACGCCGTTCTCGAGCTGAAGAGAGCCCCAAAAGTCAATCACATGGATCTAGGTGTTATACCTTCCGTTAAGAAGCTCCCCGCCGGTAGGATCCACTTCTCCGGCTTTGACGATGACCGACCCGGTGACTTGGTGTACCGGTTCTGCTCTGTGTCTGAGGAATCCAATGACTTGTTGTATCAGTACTGCGACGCCAAACCCGGCTCCAGCGGCTCAGGAGTTTACGTCCGCCTCAAAGAGCCGGGCAAGAAGAAGTGGAAGAGAAAGATCATCGGGGTTTTCTCCGGTCACCAGTGGGTTGACGTCAACGGGGACGGAATGCAGCAGGATTACAATGTGGCCGTGAGGATTACGCCGCTCAAGTACGCGCAGATCTGCTACTGGGTCCACGGGGACTCGAGTGAGTGTCAGGTAGCCTAAAACAACATGGAAACTCCCCACTTTTCTGCTTTTTACCCATCATCTCACACCATAGTGCCTCCTTACAGACTTCACCTACCTTGACACATCACCTTGTTTCACCAAATAGGAACTAGGCAACTTCTTCCCCTTCCCGTCTTTTACCTTGTGTGCCTCCTCATGACTCTGCTACAGTGATTCAGGTGAAGAAGTGGCAACAATAGGAACTCATCAATGCATCAAGGGAACTGTGGCTTGTCGGTTGTCTTTCTTTATTTATTTGCTTGAAATATAGATGGGAAAAGAAATCCGTTTTAAGTATTTTAAATCTACTTTGACAGTTTTCAAAATAAATTGACTTCTACTGTCATAGTACAGTGAATGGTTTATAGTGTACCTGCAAGGTGTTATTATTAAAGAAAAGGCTTCTCCACCACTGTAAGCATGAAACGTGGCAATTAGCAATAACGGGATGCCCAAAAACCAACTTAAATACTTAAAAAAAAAGAACGATATGACGATTCAGAGACGACAAAACAGAAAAATCAAATAAGCTGATGTTTTGATTTGTGTATATCTCGAACAATGTATTAGATGTTTTGTGTTTTACACTTATCTTTTAATGAGTGTTTTTCTCCTCCTGGATGCCTTTTAGGAGATGTTGTTTTTGTGTGATTTGTGTCTCATCCTCTTTCATCCGTTCTTGCAGTACAGTGAAATGTGGTTTCATTGTTGTGCACATAACTATAACAGAGAATGACGTGGTGCTAATTTATGGGACTGTAACCTTTTTGTTTCCGTTCCGGAACGACTTAGAAAATATTTTTGCTGGCCTGGTACTGTAACTTTGAGCTTAAGGTGAGGCTACATGTTTTTGCGTTACATCGAGACTGAAGCATTCAACAATTTACTTGAGCTGTTTTTATTCCTCTATTTTAAGGGTAACAGATGTTTTTTTTTTTTTTTTAAGTCACTTTGATTTTATAGACATAGTTTAAGATTAAATATAATATTTCTGACTTGTTCCTGTTGCTTTTACTCCAAGGAAATGCAAGGCTATTCCTTTTTAAATACCAAATATCTGCAAATAATTATTAGAGTTGAAGCCTAAAGCCATTAAAACCGAGATTCCCCTTTGAGTGTGTGTGTCTGTGTGATGAAAACGAATGCATCTAAGCAAACAGCAAAGAGTCAGACGGCCTATGAGGTTAAACAGTGGTGAAAGTGTTATGATTAGGGGCCGCAGCATTTCTTCAGGCACTCAGCTTCAGATCCAGTCATAAAAACTGGACTGGGAGATTCGCATGTCTGTTTTTAGTAAGATATTAATTAAAAATGCCATTAAAGGGAGACATCTGGGCACATAAAAAGAGCTAGATTTGAACATGCGTGTGGATAAACATGCAAGGTTGTCTGTAGCCTCTGACACCAAAGATTTCATCCATTTATTCCACAGAACAATGTTACATCTCTTGACATTTTGGTTAGGTATATAGTCATACTACGAACGGTGGTGTTGCTCATTAGTACTTTTAACAGTATGAATTCCTCACAGAAAGTATGAAAGTAGGAGAACACACGATTTGTTTCTCAGTTTAGTAAAATGCGCCACAGAGTTAATTCCAGTAAGTTTGTGGTGATCCAAGCAGGCGTCCATGTTTCAATTCAAGCCTGATGCACATTGAAACGAGTCAGAACAGTTCAATCCGTCATCCAATTTATTGCATCTCGAGGGGCTTACATGCACTGGGAAGGGCCATTGTAAAATAAAACAAGATTTACAATAAAACAAAAACAAGAACAAAAAAATTACACTTCTAATAAATCAGTCATGAAAAAATGTCAATATTCTCCCATGATTTACTCTGACTCTCACAACCAGTCCACAAAACATGACAGAGAACGGACACAGAGAAAGATCTATCACTTTCCGTAGATTACAGCACAGAAGAGAAGACTGGCCTTAAATTATGACCAAATGTGTGATTACGCTCAAAGTGACTTTTACTGAACTCTGGGTTAAAAATGGCTGGAAGGTTCAACAATAACCCCAAGCAGAGTTCTCCACAGTTAGAGGCAAGCCAGATGTTATCGATTAGGAAAAGAGTCAAACACGATGCTCAGACGGAAGCGAAACGAATGTTTTGTTTAGTTTTACTACGCACTCTGGCGCTGGAGCAGGTCATGTTCTCCCCGAGGCGAAAGGTGCAGTGTGGCGTTTTGGCCGCCAGCGACATCAAGGAGGATCCGTCAGAGAAAAAGCCCTTGCAGCTTGTAAATAATGTCAACTTTGAAGTTTGAGGTAAACACGGTTAGCGTGTCGTCAGGAGCCACGAACGCACACGCGGCCTCATCCTTTGATGAGTCATCCTGCGCGTAAACAGAATTCGCTTTGCTTAGAGGACGAGACGCCACATTGTATCGCCACACTTTTCTCATTAAAGTAAGCTGAGCAAGGGGTGACCGAGCATTCTTTGCAAAAATCCACCAGGCGTGGACCAATTACTGCTCTTTTGGGGTGCACCAAAGTTGCCAGAAGCCAGAGAAAACAGCGGAGCGTTTTCTCAGGCCGCCCCTCCCCAACATGCTGCTGCAAAGTTGCTTGAAATATGGCTACTGCACTTTTCCCTCGCTTACAAGTACTTGGAAATACTTCCAGTTGGGGAAAATGTGTGCAGTCGAGGTGCTTGGACTAAAAACTAAGGACAATCCATCACCCATATTAGTGCTGTTTGGCAAGTTGTGAGTGGAATATAGTCTCACTAACAATTAATAACAATCATGTTTACTTCTGTAAATTGAAGAATGATACAAAGGGACACAATAATGAGCAGGAGGAACATAAAAACATCTGCTCAATTAACAGCTGGATATTCCATGCTTTTGCTCTAATGGATCGAGCAAAATTAAGACAATAAATAAATGTTAAAGATAAGTGTTTTTTAAGGGAATGATGAATATTTAGCAATTTTTCAGGAGTGGATGGATTGATAGCAATTAGAATAGGCTTCATTTCTGTTCCAAATCTAGAGAAAATACAGTGAAATGACTGCAAAGTCTCTGAAAACTATGAAAACTACAAGTCTTCTCGTTTTTAATGACTATAATTAGACCATAATCATATTAATCTCGTCGATCTGACCCTTCTGAGCATGGCGTTTGCTGTGGAAGTCGTGAAAATGACACGACACTCTTAAAATCGACCACTCCAACGACTTTTAACGCTTCTACCCAAGGAAAGTTCAAACACGCCTCTAAGAAGACTAAAGTGTAGTTCTCTGGAGGTACATAAAGTTCCCATATATGTTCTTTAATAGAAAGGTACGCAGACAGCCACAGTCTGGAGAAATGAACCAAAATGGACGTTGCAGATGGCATACAACTAAAGGACACAAAAAGAAGAAAACGTAGAAAATTAGGCCACAAGTAAAAACACAGAGGAAAAAAAAAAGAAGAAGAAAGGACCACTTGCTGTTTTTAAACAACTGAAAATCCCACCAAGGTTGATTTTAATATACAGCATACAAATCTTTTAGTGGCGGTCTTACTCGTTTCAGTTAGTTCCTATGATGACGGCAAACAGGGATACTCACAAGACTTCTCACAATTTCATGTCTGATTCACTTTTGAGGTTCTCCTCAACAGACGTACAATAGGGACAAACTCCTCACCAAAGAAAACCTCTGTGCATCGAGGAGGGCCTTCCTGTCAAAGCGTCACACATACTATGCCTCTTCCAAAATCTACAGGGAGTTTTTGTTTCCCGATCTCATCCAACCAACATGGCAACACGCAGAAGCTCCTCCCCCCTCAGTGAGGAGGCGGAGACATTAACGAGGTGTGGGCGGGGCTCGGGACACCAAAGCACATCAATCATTCAGTTCAGCACGATAAATAAATCTAAAACACATATTTCTTCACTTCCTCTCACTTACCGTCCTGAACAATTTTTTTCATCATTATTATTTATTTATTTTCTTTTTTTGTCAGGATTTTGTGTCATTTTGTTTCGACGATAAAATTAGTACATCGACATAAGCACAAGCTCTGGATTTTACTTCTTTTTTTTTTCTTTTTTTTTTAATCTTATATTTGTATATAATCCATTATGGTTCACTTTCACAGTTTGTGCTACAACATCACACAGGAGAAGTCGGGTCATGGACAGGTGAGGAGGAGAAAAACAGGAATGCAACATTGCTGGCATCTCGAGATGTTGACGGGCGCCAGGTAAACGCTGAGAAGGCTCCGATCCAGACGAGAAAAGCAGCTGGGAGACAGGAAACACAACATCAGACTTAGTCATCTTTTACTGCTTTCAATAAAGGGTGCAGTCTTTTGTTTCTGTGGAGCACATAGTCGAGCACTTTGACGTTTTAAAAAAAACACGTCCTTAATAGAAACTTGTTTTTTGGGGTAAAAGTTTTGGCGGCGGCGTCAAAACTGATTTATTTTTGCAAAACTGCAATGGAAACACTTTTTTTTTTTGCTTGTTCTTTTGCATCACATGAATCCCACCATCAACAACCAGGACGTCGCCACTGGCGCAGACCATGAAGACGACAACGACAGGAAGTAGTTCGAGGACGATGGCACGGAATGTTTTTTTTATTTATTTATGTGAAAATAATTACATTTCATATGCAATAGAAACACCGCAATTCCGAAATTGTGTTTTTTGCGACATTAGCAGAATATTGACAACGTTCCAGCTGTTTGTGCTAACGCTTTGCGTACTTTACAGACGACTATATAAGAGCACCTCATCCAAATTTTATTGTTCCTCAAATCACACAAATGAATCTGTAAATACCTCAGAGTACCAGCACCACCTACTGGTGACACGCTGTACGTCACTGCAAAAGTATGAACGATGGAGCCTAACAGTAGCTTATGACTACTTTATTCAAGAAGAAGAAAGAACCATCTCCATATATACACAGCATAGAAATATAAAGCTGATTTTTCTACCTGGGGTATTATAAGAAGTCCTTGAGGTCGAGGTCTGCCAGAGGGTCCTTGGGCTTCTTGGGGCTCTGATTTGCAGGTCCTGAAGAAAGCTAAGACAAAAGCAGGCAAAATGGATCCTTTTAAAAAACAAAACAGTGATTTTCAGCAAGATAAACAATAAAGTCAGCATCATTAACAGATACATAAATTCCATCTTAAAAGTTAGGCTGAGTAGGTTTTGATGCACATTTAATTTTCTATTTTTTTTTTATTCAAACAAAAATATTGAAAAGGCCCAAATAATCCCCTGTTATCATTAACAGGGGATACGTATTATGATACAGAGAAAAATCTGTTTTTATATTCAGTGCCCTGGAGCTTTTTTTTATACTCTAGCACTGTTTTTGTGCAAAGTTTGTTTTAGCAGCATTGAGTAGCAGATAGAGGGAGAATACTGCTTAAGCACATTTTTGTCTTGCTTTTTTAATGTTTTTATTTCCTATTATTTAGGACATCAGAATAAACGAAGGTAGAAACATTTATTACGCTGAGATTTGTGTTGGTTTATCTCGTGAAATCTGTCTGCTGGCACCATGATAAAAATAAATAAATAAATTGAAGGCATATAAAGACACTTTAATATTTCTTATGGTATATGATGAGTTACCGGCGCTCCCGGTGCAGCTCCAGCAACCCCCGTGAACGGAGGTCTCATCATGGGCTGCCCCATCATAGGCTGCCCCATCATGGGCTGCATCATTGGGACCCCTGGACCTCCAGCAGGAGGCTGTTAGAAAACAGAATGACATCAGAAATTGTTACTATTAATGAATCAATTACAAATATGTTTTATTTTAAACAGTGATTGAATTGTTTCATTCAATTCTCTAAGCACAGACATTAAAAAGCTCACCATGCCAAAGCCAGGCTGCGCGCTCATTGTTGGCACCATCGGTGCACCAGGGGGCGCTGCTCCTGGCGCCTGAACATCCAGACACATTTATTTAGTTCTCAGAGCATTTTGGCTCAACAAACTCTCTAAAGTCAGAAAATGACCACGAAACTGATTCATTTCAGCAATTCAGTTTGAATTTGGTACACACTTCATGACACAGGAAGCGACACATTTCAAGCGTTCATTTCAAGGTTGATCATTATGTCGAATGAAAACCCCAAAAATCGTTTTCTCCGGAAAAAAAAAAGTTTTTTGAGAGAACTATAAATCAGAAAGAGAATATACTTCACTGATTCGTCGGCGAGTTACTGTTTCCAAAATGCCAGATATTAGCAGCAATAAATATAAACATTGGCGATATAAAATTTATCTAAAAAAACACACATTTTCTGACTTATTTAAAAATGACTGAAATATAGTATAATTTAATTAATTAAAATAACAATACATTAACAAATATAACATTTACAAAAATTCTGTTTGAGTATATCGGATCTTTCTGGACTTTGGGTTTTCATTTGCTTTGAGGCATAAACTTCAAAATTAACAGAAGTATTAATCAGTGCATCAGTGACGAAGTCTTTGTGTGCGTACTTTTCTGTGCACTGTGAGTGGAAAGTAATAATATCTTCTGTTTCATTTTAATGAACATCTATTTTTCCATGGGCTGCCAAGCGACTGCAGACGTGAATTAACTTATGCTACAATCTGGCACAGAGCATCAGATGGGGGGCTTTTATGTTTGATCTGTACTTTGCCTCTTTCTAAATAAAGTTCATCGTCATTATTAAATAAAGACTTGAAATAAATCACTGTGTACTGCCTCTTAATATGAATTTCACTTTCTGAGACACACATGGACGCAAGTATATCGTTTAATTTTTTAGTTTTTTTTGCTAAGCTTTTACAAAAACTTCTTCATTTTTGACTCACTGCAAACTCCTGGGTTTTCTTAGACAAAAGCTTTTAAAATTATTTTGAGTAATCAATAGTGCACACTGTGTTGCTGTTTGATCCACTGGATGTTTGTGTGACTGAATTGACAGGATTTTTCTCTATAAAGTGCCCTGTGACGACGCTTGTTGTGAATCTTTTGGAGCAAGAGAGGCTCATAAGCCAATTTTGTTCCGGTTCTGATGGTGGAGTTGCTGTTCTCACCATGGGGGCCCCTGGGGAGCCCCAGCTTGTGGGAGCGACCTGCGGCATCCAGTTGGCGCCCCCTGTCAGCTTCTTCTCGCCAAGCGGGTCCCTTTGAAACGAACAATAATAGTTGCAACGTGTGATTCTGTCCAGGTTATTTGCTGGGGATTATTTTAACGGTGCATTTGCGTTCTTAATCACACGCTTACTTTTTCTTCATTCCAAGGTCTGAAAAGATGAAAGAAAACAAAGAATTACCTTACAAAACCTGCAGTTTCTTTTAAAAAAAATTTTTTTGTGTGTTAATAGTCGCTGTCTACCTCCAACTAGGTTGGCCAGCGACGAGTCCAGGTCTCCTCCGATGGTCTTGGCGGGAGGCGGGGTGGCGGGAGGGAGGGCTGATATTCCTCCTGGTGCGCTGGGGGTCCCGGTGCTGCCCGTTGTGCTGCCTCCGGTGCTCTGCGGCGTCACCGCCGGCATCAGCAAGTCGCCTAGTCCGCCGAACACTGGCGGAGAGTCGCGGGAGGAGACACAGAGGAACGATTATCGACGTGGGACTGCAGCGGCCGGCCAGAGGCGGGCAGAGGGTGAAAAGCACCACCCTCTGCAGGCGGTGCGACAACACAGGGGCGGTCCAGCCGTGGCAGCATCTGCAGGCAAGCCGCGCGTGGCAGACACCGTCTCACGCCGAGCTAAGAATGCGACGGAGCATTCAAAGCTATGCAGCGGCAGCAAGTGCAACCGTGTTTGGTAGAAATATGACACCAAGGCCATTTCACGTACATTTTTTGTCAGTGTTGTTCATAGAGAAGACATATTTAGCTCATCAATGAATACGCAGCAACCTCCAAACTTACTGACACCTTAAGTTGTCAGTATTAACATTTTATGTAAAATTTCATCAATCTCAAAATTCACTGCAGCAGCAGCATTTCAGACCGAGACGTGCAGAATAGCCCGTTTATTGAGCTGCGTCTACTTGGAAGCATGGTGGAGGATCTGTGATGCTGAGGGTCTGTTTCTCTTCCAAACGACCTGCAAGTCTCGTGAGAGTGAACGGCATCAGGATTTCTACCAGATTTCAGGTGACTTCCATTAAACTATTGCAAGAAAACTGAAAACGGGTCTTTTATCTCAACACAGGTCCGCAGCATTTGGGCAGGTCGGCACAGATGTGTGTCAAAAAACACAACATCTCCTCTTTTTGCCTCACAGACCGAAAGCCTACTGAAATGATGATATGACCTGGGAGACAAAACAGGAAAAGGGAGGAAACATAGATCCGGATGGTCTAGAAATGTTGCGCAAACTCTTTGGATGCTCCTTCCTCGCAAAACGAAAGGCCCAAATGCTCTCGAATCAAACATGTAAATGTATTTAAATAGCATATTTGAGAACAACTCTCGTTGATGAATAGTATTAATCCTCAAAATAGGGTCAAATCAAATAAAACTCCATGTTTTCCCACATTTTTCTGTTAGATTAAGCTGCTGAAGTAAAAAAGTCAAATTTATTTCAAGCGTGTCTATGCATCTTTCCCACCAGTGTCCAGAAATACGGAGGGCACTCCAATATCTTTAAAGAAATCCTCCGTGGTGCATTTATGACAGCAACACTTTCTATACCTGCAGGTTTACCGAAATGTTATAGCTGCAAGTGTGGTGAAAGGTACGAGAAGCAACAGGCCTTGGTGACATATGGCTGCCTTAAAACTAAAAACAGATGACAAAAAATCTCGTCTCATGCGTTAGACGTGAGCACTTTTTTTTTTTTTGCGGCATGCAAGGGGGGAGAGAGAGGGAGCGCCGTCCAAACTGCACTGCAGAGTTGAACTCACCATTTACAGATTAGATGGAGCAAGCAATGACCCAGCAGAGTGGAAGAGGGCAAAAAGAAGGGAAGAAGAAAAGAAGAGGAGGAGGAGTGGGTGGAAAGTGAAGAAAGCACAGCGTTTATGAGAGTGCAAAGAAAGTAAAGGCAGAATCGGGCAGCGGTGCTGAAGAGAAAAGCAGTCAGCAGGAAGGACAGTCGTACGTCAGGAGGCCAGTGACAGCAAGAAAACCGAGCACACCAAGCAGAGCACCTTCGCCGATAAAATGCTTTGTTGTTTTTTTTTTGGTTTTGGTTTTTTTCCTCCCTTATTTTTGTTACACACGGCATGGCAAAAGGAACAGGCCATAGAGGCCTGTTCCTTTTGAGGAAACTCCTAATTTCACCTACTTGATGCGTCGAAGCCACCGGAGGGCGCTGGCGTGGCGGACGCAGGTTCTGACGTCGCCGCGGTCGGAGCCATCGGCACTACCGAAGCCGCGGCGGGCACCGGCGGTGTCGGGGACGGGAGCGAGGCCAGCGAGTCGAAGCCGGTCTCCAGAAGGTCGTTCTGCACCGGGGCCGGGGCCAGGGCGGTCGTGGGAGCCAGCGTGGGGGAGATCAGGCCTGCAGGAAAACACAGGAAGGACCCAAACGGTTCACTCTGCTACCAGACTGGATCGAATCAAGAAAGCAAAAGTTTAAAAGGGCAGTTATATGTCATTTCGAGCCATTTTATAGCACAGTGAAGTAGCAATGTTACCTTCAGCTGTACTAAAAATACTGTGAATATCAACATGACATAAAAGACATTGAACTTTGTAATTTACTGCCTTGAAATTGGGTCTCTGTCGCTTTAAGAAGCTCCTACTTTTTCTGACACTCTGCCTCCAGGAAGTCATCGCAGCATTCATCTACAAAGCGTTTGCATTTTTAATCGCGTTTTTCTCATATAATGAGCTGCAATTAGCAATGTTTGCTAATTGCTGCTGGCTAGTCTGAAGGAGCTGAGTAAGGGAGCTTGTGTGCGGAGGAGCCGTGTGGAAAAGGCAGTGCTTATGAACCCTGAATGGTTGCTATGGGAGATTAAAGGACTTCACTAACATGCATGAAAAAAAATTTAAAGCAAAACTCCAGGTATGTTTTTGATGAGGGAATGATCACACAAAAGTTAATTTCACATAATGCTGCCCCTTTAAATGAAAATAAAAACAGAAAAATGGATCTCAACAACTTAAACATATGAAACAATGTGCATATTGTGGCAGCATTTACAAAGCCAATGTTTGTAGTGAGTCAAATTTCTGTCACCTGAAGCTGTTTTACATGTATCATGTAAATAAGTCATGGTATTACATTTATGCTAGATGTTCATTTATTAGGGAAACAACTTTTTTTTTCTACTCCCTTGCTCCCTCCTCATCTTATCCACCCAATTTCCTTTTGATTTTGTTGTCCGGTGAAGCGTTTCCGCGTTATTGTCGATCGTCCTGCTTCGTCCTCCTCATGCGACCTGAAGAAGATGAAGAGTTGGGCCTGAAGACCCCGAGTCTCTATTCCGTCCGCGGACCGTTTCACCACAAGACACTGAAACATACCGACACTTTTATTGCGGCTAATGCGAAGGTCCAATTCAAACCGGCCAGGTCCGAAGGAAATGAGCCGGACAGAACCGAGACAGAACAAACCTCGACGGATGCATGAGGGGAAATATTTCAATTGAGCTCCAAGCCACTCTGGAACTGCTGTGTGTTTAATCCAAGTGGGCTTTGCCAAGTCTGCGGAACAGCAGAGCTAATCTGACTAAAGCGCCTCTATCGTTACTTCATCGGCATCGAACATTTCCAGCAGCCACTTCCCATTTTTTAAACTTGAATACTCAGATTTTATAGGTTTTGTAGCGCAGGCTGACCTCCCAGCAGGTCGCCTCCCGGGGCAGAGCTTTGCTTCTCCTCCACAGGTCCGCTGAAGGAGTCTGCAGAGAGAGAGAGAGAGGAGCTGAAAGGTCGACTTCTGCTGTTCCAGCACAGCAATCGCCATTCAGAGGAAATATAAATTTGTTTGTCTGGGCTGAAAATAGCTCCTTCAAAAAATAAATAAATACAGCAAAATGACTCAACTCTGCAATTATCTGGGATTCTTATGCATCTCAGATGATGCTAAAATCCATTTTGCAGGTGCATTTTGAGGGTCTTTAGTGATAAACAGCAGTGATGTGATGCATATTCTTTACCAGGGTTTATGGTACGGTCTTTCAAACAAAACAATGTATCAAAAAATGTGAAGTTAAAATTTAAGGATGCCATTTTTGGCCTCGTGGGAAACATCGGCAAGATGTCAGACCGAATTGGCTCAGACGGAAACGACATCACGTCTCAGGACAATAGTAATCTGATTACGCAACCTATCATGTCATATCAGTGGTGAAAATGGTTAGCATGTTTATTGAATGGATATTCAAACCCTCTTCTTTTAGGATATTTCAGTCCGGTTTGCTATGCCACAGCTGCCTCAGATGCTAAGGTCATTCGGTCCTGAGACCTGGGCGATCTCATAAAACGCATAAAGTACGTGGGCTTGTTAGTTGCCCAAGTTACAAAATTGTGCAGCTTTGACAACAGCTGGGAAAGAATGCTTAAACATGTCTGATCCTGGGAGGAAGTTCTGCAGGAAATGCAAAACTGTGCAACTCTGATGGCGAGTCTGTGTTTTCTCTGGACGTTTAGTAACAAGCAGTTTTTTTTTTTTTTTTTTGTGCACTGTGACATTTATTACCCAGTAGGTCAATGACCGGCTCTGGCTCTGGTTTGGGTGGAGAGGAGGCTTCTGGTACGGGAGTCGGGGCCGGGGCAGGAGTTGGGGCAGGAGACGGCGTGGCGGTTGGAGCTGGAGATGTAAACGTATCTAAGGCGAAAGTGGGAGGGAGGGGAGAAAAAAAAGCACGATTAGATCCTTTCAAATTATTCATCGACAAACAGAAAAAAAAACCACAAGGATGCTTGTTTTTTTACTCGAGTTCTTCTGCCTGTTTTTGTTAAACAGCAAAGCAGAAAAGCAGAGAGAGGCAAGCATCCCCGCATCGTCGCAGCGCATCCACATCCCGAAAGCGTGCAGCATTCCGGGACAAGACGTCCGGAGCGAGCATGCAAACTTATCTGGCTGCAACTCCTCATAAAGGGTAAGGAAGAGAAACAGGCCATGAAAGTCAATGATAAAAGCAGCTCGACCAACTCACCCGTCACAATGTCTCCAACAGAAGCCGGCTCGGGCAACGGAGAGGGCCCGCGTGAAACAGCAGGTAGGTCTAATTTACCAACGCAAGCAAGAGCCAGGATAAAGGAAGGGAGGGAAAAACCGTGGAGGTCGGGGGAGCATAGAAAAGCGTTAGCGTGGCAGGTAGAAACGGAAAAAGAAAAAGAAAAAACATAGACAGAAAAAGCAGCCACAGAGACAATCCGGCAATTGACGAGTGGGGGGCGCATGCACGTTTTCATCTCACTATGAGGGACAAATCAGGACATGTAAGGGAGAAAAACAATAAATAAATAAACTGTTGACAAAGGAGAATCACTATGGACACCAGAGGAGGTGAAGAGGCTCCACAAACAGAGAAAGGGACATCAACTCCTGTACCTGCACCAAAAAGGTCTACGCTAGGAGTGGTAGCGGCTTTGGATTCTGTGGTAGGGCTTTGCTCAGGCATAGAATCAAACATATCTATGAACAGGGACAGACAACCACATGGACATTCAGATTCAAGTCCGGTGCATGACGAGTTATAAAGAAGAGAGATGAGGGGAGAGCAGAGAGAGCAGATTTGTGTTTTTCTTTTGTTCTTTCTCATCGATTAATTCAGTGAGTCAGAAGCTTTTCAGTGCAATGAAACGAGACGATGCAAATGTTAAAGTGGAATATTGCCACATATGCTTGACGTAAAATCTGTCCAGTTTTACTGGCTTATTGGCAAAAATGACATGTGCATGTAATTTCAAGCAAAACTGCAACGTTTCAACACTGGAAACTGACCAAAAGAAATAAGAATAAAGTCAGTGTAAAGCAATATTATTGATCCTTAACAAGCCAATCTTTGTGGTGGGCTCACCATACTATAAGAAAAATACAGCTCCTTCAAAAGTGAATGTGATTCTCCAACTTTCATCTCCAGTGTTTCGGGGCCTCTGCTAAAATGTATTATTATTGATCTGACTCTAGTATTGGCTCTGACTCTAGATAAGTATATTTAGAAATGATTGACATCAGGAGTCTAATGAAACACAGCTCCCGATCTCGCCAACTGTCTGCAATCAGATCAGACGGGCACAAAAAGTGGACTTCAATGTAAAAGTCTCTCACCTTTTACACTTTGACCTTCACCTTTTACAGTGAAGGTCAACGTGGCAGAGGCCACAAGCAGGAAAACAACTTTCTCTACAAGTTTATCTTTACCCACTCAACTGGAATGGCATCAACATATATTATTTATTTAGCTATGTTAGCTAAATTATCAACAAGTCATATCAAAAACGAAAAGAACTGTGCTAGCATTAGCCTAGCACCTCGGCTAACTGCTCAAAATGAAACAAGTAAGAGCTGACAACTTTTTTGTTTGTATTCCAGATTTATTGACTTAAATTAGTAAAGTTATCTTGCTGAAAAGTTGCATTTGAGTTCATTTGGTCTCACTTCAAGTGTACAAAAACATTTGAGCTAGAAACTGGATTAAAATACTCGGTAAGTGTTTTTTGCATGGTATGAATAAACTGAGTTAAATTGATGTGAATTTGTTCCCATATTAGCGGAATTTTTGCTGAAGAGAATAAGGGAATTTAAGTGATTCGTTGTTTCGCCGCTCCATCATTCATTTTTTTTAAAATCAAAATGGGAGAGACACATTTTGATCATCGAGTTCATAGATATTCTGTACAAACACAAAATATCAGGAGACGTTTATCCATTTTGGAGATTTTCCATTCAGGCTTCTGAAGCGAGTCGGAGCATTTAAAAAAAAGAGAAAGTCTAAAATGAAGCAATACTCCATTTTAACTCAAATGCATAAGCTACAAGAAAAGCATTCTCAGGAGGATCTAAAGTTATATCAAACAGCAGAAGAAAACGGTTTTCTTCCCTTTAAGGTTCGGCACTCTGTTAGTATTCAGTCAAAAATCAAAGCAAGTCAACGCGCCTCTGTGTATAAAATGACATTTGCTTTTATGCCCCAACAAATCCGATTTGGTTTTGTTCCTCATACAAAACAAAAAAAAAAAAAAAAAACCAAACCATGTTCTATTTGTTTTTGTTTTTCATTCTTTCCATGGAAATTCTTTTCGGCTGTCACAGAGGCCGTCAAAGTGCTTGGATAACAGTCAACGAAACAATAATTCAGAAATGTATCACTGGCAAAAAAAAAAATCATCATAATCAGCAGCAAAGAGCAACACAGTCAGAGTCATCTAAAAATTCATCGTCTCTGCTGCCACAATGCAGGTAAAATGCAGTGAGTGTGTGCGTAATGAGAGCGAGAGGACATTACCACCAAAGATATCTAGAGTCGGGGCGGCTGCAGACTCTGTGGTGGTGGTGTCGGTGGTGGTGGTGGTAGTAGTAGTGGAGGAAGGGGCGGGAGCAGCGGGGGCAGCGATGGGGGCGATGGCGGTCGGCGCTTCGCCAGAGGTGGGAGGAGTGATGGCGGTGGCGGCCTCCGAGTCAGAAGGCCTCATAGCGAACAGGTCCAGCTCTGGAGCGAGGCTTGAGCTCCCTTCCGTGGTAGCGAAGGGGTCTTTAGGAGGAGCAGCGGGGGGTTCGGTGTGGACAGGTTAGAGCGGGTTATGATTGGAGAAAAGGAAAAAGGCGGTTTAGGGATGGATGGTGAAAAACAACAATTACTTTGAAAAGCATGGCTCTGAGGGGAAAATGCTGTCTAAAGCTCGAGATCACGTCATGTGCATTTATTTGTTTGCAGGAGTGGCTTCCATAAGTCACAATTAACTTCCTCTAACTTGAATAAGAGCTGTGGAGAAAAATTAGAAGAAAAAAAAAAGAAAAATAGTTGAGCCAAGTTTAGAGAGACATGGTCATGTCAATATCAGCCAAATATCTGTTTTATTTGGAGTTTTTTTTTTTCAAATAAATGCAGAAAAAAAAAACAAAAAAAAACCATTTATCACTTTGTGATTGTGTGCCAAATTATTTGGAAAAAAAAGCAAATTATGAGATACGTTATCATATGCTTATTTATTAACTAAACCTTTTCTCACTTGCTACATTTTAAGCTGATAAGTTGATGTTTATTTAAAGGGAGTGAGTGAAAATCAAATCTAAAAGTTGTCTCTAATGGTGCTTTTAGCATAAATTCAACATGCTAATGCTAACATAGCGGTTGTGATGCTACATGGAAAACCTTGTAGTCTGCTGCATTGTAGTGTAAAGTGTAATTTATGCATGTTAAGAGGAAATTAACTCTTTACTGTTTTCCAGGCTATAAGAAAAGAAGTTGTGCATGCTAACATTTCATGCACAGTTCATGATGTCAGAACTGTGCATGACTGTTTTGAAATACAATCATATTTTCATAACCCCACAACAAATCAATGATTACATTTAGTCAGTAAATTTATGAATATATATCAGAAATTGTAATTATCACTGTAAGGCCATCATGTTTTCTTTCTGTAAATATGAATTTCTTTTTGTTTCATCAACATTATCAATAAAAATGTATGTTGCTATTATTAGTGGGTTAGTTTTACGCTTCAAGTCAGACAACATGACAGAGATGTTGTTGTTTCAGAGGACACAAAAACAGCCTAAACTCTTCACCGCCAAAATCACTAAACAATTCAAAGGTTTTTGCTTTCCACATTGCCACGGATTAAACTTGCACATCTCTAGAATTGCTCAGTTAACAGTACGTGTGTGAACATTTTGCTTGTAACGTACAGTAACTTCATTAAGATGTGCAGAGAGAGATTGGTGTACATATGCTTGAAACTACAAGCATTACAACCGTGTTGGTCAAAGAGAGTTAAGTCATGGAGTTATTAAAAACAAAACAAAAAAAACACAAAAAACCGGCTCTGCAAGGATTAAAATAATAATAATTCCCATCTAATATTACCATGGGTAGTGATACTCAAACAGACTGTATTCAATTTCTTGAAATAGCAGTTAACAGCTTTACTGGGTATATTTCTAAAGAATATTCCCTTGCTATCTAAACAGGAAGAAGAAGGAATAGTAGAGATGAAGGAGGAGAGGGTCCATGACTGGGGCATTAGCAGGATTTGGGGTGAGACAGTAGGCCACCCGGGGGCAAAGGTTTGCTCTACTGTCTCCTATAAAGCAGTGGCAGCTTTAGCACAACAGGAGCAAGGAGTCTCACGTACACACACGCACACACACACCCACACACACACACATTGGTGTATTCAAACGTCCTCGCAGACGCACGCTCACAAGAAGCCGTTTGGTGACCCACCAGATCCACTAAATGCATCAGCAGCGGGGCCCGCGGCCGCGGCAGCAGGACCGTCTCCTGGGGAAGGTGCAAACGCATCTGGGGTATTGCAGACAACAGCAGTGGAGACGCAAAAACAAACAAACAAACAAACAAACAAAACAAACACACACAAAAAAAACAAAGCGAAAGGCAACACCCAGGCAAACACACCAAGACACATAGACGTACAGAACAAAAGATGAGTCAACAGATGAAAAGGACAGGAAACAAAAAAAAAATGACAAGTTAGCGTCAGGAATAAGGCTGAGAATACAAGAAATATGCAGCCTGGTTCGGTGCAGTGATAGATTCAATTGCATCGCTGCTCACATGTTGAGTTTAGAGGGGAGGAAGGTGGGGACAGAATGATGGGGGGGGCTGCATAATGCTGCATTCACCGTGCACAAGACCTGCACAGGCTGGAGTCATGGAGCAAGTTGTCACAAGTTACTTTGACTCTGTGACAAGTCGGGAGGATGGCAGCAGGGATGGAAAAACATCATGGTCTCTCTTTGACAAAGAACTGACTTTTTTTCAGTCGTCGTTAAGCTTTAGGAGTGATTTTAGTGATTGTGAGCGTGACCCGTCAGCTCATAGCCATGAATATGGAACAACAGGATTAAAACTATTAAAGCGGTTTTACAAGAAGCCCAAAAAAATATGCAGCGCATAAAAGCAGATTCATTTTACGATGCGCACATTATTTCAGGGGCGGTGTTATTTGTTATAAAACAAATAACAGTTAAAAAAATGTTGATTTGTGATTAGGGTGGGCTTTTATCATATAAATTGATTATTTATCAAGATTCATTATGATCTCAGTAAGTTCCAAATAATAATAATAAGAAAACTGACAGTATTATCGAAAATATCATAGTTACTATTTTCTCCACTATTGGTCCCATGAGTTTTAAATTGTTTTTCCTAAAAAATATATATTGTTATTACTCAGTGATAACAATATACTGACGGTTCCATATAAAAAATTTGTGGTCGATTTTGATATTTGTCTTGTTACACTTGCAAATTATTGATATGTAATCTTTACATTAATTATAATAATAAAAAACCTAAGACCGTTTCAGTTTTAGGGGTTTACGAAGAAATAGTCAATTTAATTTCGTCTTTAACAGTTTATACAATAACTGACATTTAACCTCACATGTGAAAAAATGAGCATTTCTCACACTGTTACTTTGTAAGAAAGATTAAACCAATACCTGTGTGAAACCAAAATAAAAGCAGCATTAATTCATAAGGTTTAAAACGGAAGAAAACGACTTCATCAGGTGACATGAGCACCATAATACGTTTTCTGCTGCTCTGAAGCATACAGGAAAGATATTAGCAGTTACTGCAGATACCTAATTGCCGCTGCTTATCAATCAGGGAAGGCTGAGGAGACTCTAATCAGTTTGAAAGCCAATTATTCTGCACAGATAAATATTGTTGATCAGTGGGAAATGTTGAAGCATGTCGGCAGGCTTCCCAAACGAGAAGGCTTCAGCCGGTTCTTCATGCTGCGATGAGAGAAACTGGAAAAACTCTGTTTCCTGGCTGAAGTCAACATACTGAACAATAAAGTTCTAGACAGAACCGACTGAACAAGTAAGGCTTATTTCGAAGAGTTGCAAAAAAAAAAAAAAAAATGGAGCAACATGATTGAGGTTTCTGGCTCTGCCTTCCATCTAATGTTAAATATAAGTAAGTTATTAAGCTATTAAGTACAGAAGTTCAAACCTAAAATTCAGTTTATTATTTTATTTCTTCACCCTGGCCATATGACACTGTATGACTTCACAATGACGAGGTTTAGCTTAAGCCATGCCGGGCTGCACGCTAACCTACACTGACCTCCAAAAAGGTCGATGTCAGTGGCAGCAGGAGCAGAGACAGGCAGCGATGTGGGGGGCGGCACCGGTGCAGCTGCAGCAGCGGTGGCTCCGGAAGCGGTTGCCGGCGCAGCAACTGCGGCGGCTGCAGGCGCAGCAACGGTGGCGGTGGCAGCAGGGGCGGTGGTGACGGCAGCAGCAGCGCCTGCGGCATCAGTCGGCTTCCCGTCTGCCGCGAGAGCTTGAGGCGCGCCATTGGTGGCGGCTGGGGCGGCTATGTGGACAGAAGCCCCGTAACCCCATGGCCAGACCCAGTCACACCCCCCCAACCCCACCCACCCAACAGACGGACGGAAAAGGAGGAAAAGAGAAAATAGAGGAGAAACGGCTCATTCAAAGTGAACCACAAACTTAAGACTGAAGTGGGTGGTGGGAGCAACTGCTGGCCACCCAGACAATCTTCGAACAGAAAAAACAAAGATGGGACCTGAAGAGCAAATATCAGAATTTCACAGGTTCAGTCTGTGGCGCTTTGAAAGTGGAATACTCACCGCCTGCCAAGAGATCTGCAACAGAGAGACAAAAACAAGACAAAGAAGTCAATAAAAAGGTGCTGCGAATATTCGGAAACGAAATGATGCAGCGCTGCAGTTAAAACAAACAAAAGCAAGTGACCAAAAGTTCACCGTCTGGGTCACACCTTTTCTCTCTTGGTGAGAATTTTATATCCAACTTTAGTATTTAGACAAAGCAGCATTTTATGACTGTGAAAGCGTCAGTAAGGCTCTAGCATTGTTTGAAACAGTTTCTTATCTTGGGATGTTTGCTGGCATTTTGAAAAGCATGTGACAGATGAGTCCAAGTATAAGCAAACTGATTTTATGGAACATGGAGAGCTCTCACGTTTTTAAAGTGTGTGTGCTGTTTTTGATTATTTCAAATAGCGTATCCTGAGATCGAAGGTGTGGAATTCAAAGTGTCTTTCTGCCTTTGCTGTCGCTGTCTTGGTTTAGAGATCGTCCTGTTTGAGCGAACAAAGTCATGAGATCTTACTTCAGTTATCAGAATGTGGAGAAAGACGTCAGTTTCAAAATGGTTCATGAGGAAACATGCAAGGATTAGACAAAATCCAATGCAGGCTGGTGGGTTATGTATCTGTAAGGAGATCTCACCTCCCCATCCAGTCATGGACGCGGCTGCAGCCCCCCCTGCTGACGAGGACGACATCGGGTCGAGATCCAAAAGGAACCCGTCGTCCAGCGCGCTGTGAACGGAGGAAAAGACTATTTATAGAGCCCCGTTCTCATAAATGAATTGTGCAGCTTTCATAGCGTCGTCGAGTGACACCCACTTGCTGGTGACGGCGGTGGCAGGGGCCGGTGCGGTCGGAGTGACCGAGGGCGGCGGGGGTTTCGCAGGCGGACCGGGACGAGCCGGAGGCCCGCCGGCTGCAGCAGGAGGAGCAGGTTTGGCTGGTGCTGCAGCGGCAGCAGCAGGAGTACTGTTGTTGGCTGTTGCATCCTGGCACGAAAGAAATCGCCCCGTGAGGGGGCAAATCACAAGTTTGAGAGATGGAAGTCAACAGCTTCCCCCCTGCAGCTAAATGTGTCGCTGTGTTGGGAGATTTTTGATTCTGATTGTCTTAAACAATGATCACAGACTTACCTTGGTGGGCGATCTGTGAAAACAACAATGGTACAGAAGTTAGAGTTTAGTAACGCATGTTGGTCACAGTATCTGTCATTGAGATGGTGCAAAAAGTGAGAGTAAAATCTCACGCCTTTGCACCGTCAGGCTTAAAACATGACTTAAAAAATGGACCCCATGCAGGTTGGTTACTAACAAATTCACTTTTGTTTGAACGAAAACGTGCAAAATTCCCAAACAAAGTTTATAGATGGATTAAGAACAGGAGGAACTAGTGCCACTAAAAACTAAAGAACAAGACTTCTCAATGGGATACGTTGCACAGGGAAATCCACTTTCTGGTGAAAATACTTCCATAGAGCTGCATCTAAAACTGAATGACAGTGTGTGACAATAACCTGGTAGCTCAGATGCTCTTTCTATGGAGTCACTGTCCTGTAAACCCCAGGGAACGCTTTCAACATTTTGTCACGTTACAAGCCTCGATGAATATGAGGATGGGTTTTTTTTTGTTTTGCATCACACTCATACAAACTGGGGCATCATTGTGAAGAGGAAAGAAATAGATGCATGGTAGTTTAAAGTTATATGTGGAAGATGAACCTCTGCTCTAATCAGCAGTTCTTACGTCAGTATTAAAGAGTTACAAAGAGACTTATAAGTTAGTTTAATCTCACTTCAAGGGTACTTAGACAGCAAAGTTTCCCCCGGAAAACTTGCCAAGTCCAGCGGTTGGGCGCTAGAGCAGAGCAGTCATTCACCCTGTGGTCTGCCGTGTTTTTGAGTTAAAAAAATGTGTAAAGTTGACAGGAAATTTGAAAATACCGCTTGATAATTATGTGTTACTCAACGATTGGAAGATCAGTACATGAACACCAAATGCAACGTCTTAAAAATGCAGACATCCTAAAAAGAAAAACCTAAATAAATAGGCGGTGCTTAGCCTGGTGGGGGCACAAGTAAAGTCTGGTGGCCCGCCAGGCTTATAATAAAAAACCCTGGATAGGGTCCGGCAGCACTGACTGAAGGTCGGCCTCGGTTCTGTCCCAGACTACAGCGTGGTTCACCACCGTCAATGTATGACAGTCAATGATGCACTGTGATAAAGGACTCTGTCCCTCGAGGAACGCAGCTCTAGAGTCCACCGCTACGCTCTTTCCATTGTCACACAATGGATTGATCAGTACTCTGCGAGATGATCAGAGTTCAAAATAACATTTTATAACCTAATCCTGCTGCTGACATCCCCCATGCTGCGATGCGGTTTGTTCCCTAATGTGAACATCCATCCATCACACAAAGTCTACACCAACTTATTCTTCTTACACTCTGGTCAGGTTATGAATCCATCACTGGGCAAATGACAACGAAGCACACAAACACAAAACACATGAAAAATCATATCTCAGAGCAATTTGGAGAGACCAATTAAGCCACTTGAACTGTTTTTGAGGAAACTTGAGTTCCCACAGAAAACCATGTCAACAAATGAGCATGGAGAGTAATCACATTCAAACTACCCAGAGCCAGAAGTTTCCTGCTGCTGAAAGGCTACAGAGCTAAGCACTGGTTTCCCATGCAGCAGCATGCACACGAGTGGATTTCATCCACCAATCAGGCAACTTCTGGAGACAATTTGTTGCACTTGGTTTTTATTTCAGTATCCAAGAGGAAATGTGACGTTCGACTTCACAATCAGGCCCCACTTGTGTTGATCTGTCAAAGAAAATCCCAGTAGGACACAGTGAAACAGATGGACATCATGTGAGGACATCTGAAAACGCTCCAGGGGTTTGAACAGCTTCGCTCGTGACCCGAATGATGATGGTTTTGAACTCCGTTTTCACAATGACAACAGACTTACTTGTCTTCACTGCGTTTGGATAAAGGCAGGAAGAAACAGCAGATTAGAGACAAAGATCCTTGAGACAAAGACAGGTGCAGGTACGATGGCAGGGAAACAATGGAAGTTGTAGTAATTACTTACGGCTTCTTCCCCTCCAGGGTGTTGAGATGAGTCTCGAGAGACTCCAAAAGACTTTCAGGGGCCTGCGGAGAAAATGCAGAGAGTGACTCCTAATCCTGACCTGTTGCAGCCGACGTTTCTTTGATCGAGCTGGGCCCCCTGGCATGTAGAACCTGGCACTAAATCAGAAGGGGTCTGATTCGCACAGTTTATGTGCCACAACTTAAACAGAGACCCAGAAAGGAAGAGAAATCGGAAAACAGATGTGTTACGGAGAAAATAAGTTCAAAAACGGTGTGCAAGTCGAGAGAGCACGGTTCCAGTCAATCAGAGTGCAAAGCTGCATGCTCGACTCGGACACAGCCAGCTCCCAGCATGCAAAACAAAGGATAGCCCAATACCCAGCTAGTTTTGTTTCGGGGGGTTCCCCCCCACTAAAGGTCGAAGCTAAATCGGCCAATGAAGTAATCATTAATTGGATTTCCACACTCATTTCCTGTGTCTGTCTATTTAGAGCTTTAAAAATCTGTTATGCTAAAACTTGAAAGGAGCCAGACTGACAATACGCCTGAGAGGGACGGGGAGACACTTTGTCCCGGTGGGTTTTTTCAGGCGCCTGTCCTCACCACTGCACAGCTCAGGCCCAGACGGCTCCAGTGTAAGGAAAACCCTTTCGAACCTGTTCTGATGAAAATCGACATTGGAGCATGTTAGATAAATGGCCAAATTATTAGTCACCATAAGTGACGATTTTTCAGTCTGCTTGCAGTAAGGGCTGCTTCAGACCGAAGAGGAAGATGTTTGTTTACATTTTTACAATATTTACCCGGCTTCTTTGCTCCATCCTGGCCAATTGGTGCAAGCTTATTTTTAACTTGACGACAGGCCAATAATGGTTTGTTAGTTCGGTTTTTTTAAATTTTGGTTTAATGAACAAAAAAAACGAACTGCCTGAACGCACACAATGCCTACAGTGAGTGACAATATTGGCTGGTTTACAAAGCAGCCAATCCAAGAGCGCCATTCATTTTCTGACTGCTGCCGATTGGCTGCAGTAGAGAGACTGTGGATGCTGAGAACAGTTTCCACTGACTGTGTTAACATTTAACTTCCCTTTATAATCAATAAAGCTTTTTTTATTATTATTATTAAATTGAATTGAATTAATGCAGATTGATGTACATTTGGCATTTGAATGTAGTTATTAACGTTTGTTTGCAGGAGCCTAAAATTTTTGCAGACAACCCCAGCTAGTACTGGGGGTCCACTTTACTAGAATGAGCCTTTATTTTTTGTCCTCAATGATCAATAAAGGTTATTCTTTTTAAAGAAGGCTTTGCACATATCCATTGTGACGTCTATTTTCCAGCTGACCAATATCAGCACTCAGCAGAAGAACTTGTGCTGTTTAATAAAGATTGTTGTAAAAAGTTTGTGCAGCAATGCCTGGAAACATAAACATGGTTTCTGTATATATTCAAACCAATACAAGCAAAGCTGCTGCAGAACAGCACAGCACTTACTGCTTAAAAAATCTTGTGTAATCAACAAAATTTGGCTTTAAAATTAGAAGCCAAGCCCACTTCTTGCCGTCGCAATGCCACGTTGAAACACGGGTCACGGTTTTCCGACGCCGCAGCAGAGCCGATGCCATGATTTGTGCCACCTGCTCAGCATGCCGCCGATGCAAACCCTTCATGCTGCCGCTTCCAAAACAGTAACCTCAGCTGTTGAGTTTCCACCGCAGGCCACAGGTTGATCGTCTGAAACACGAGACGAAGAAACATCAAGTTTCTCATCCCGGGAATCTGGTGCACCTTCATGTGACCCATGAACTGGTCACATTCAGTGACCCCTGTGACGAGCGTGCGGCCGTGGAAACTCCACAGAGATGCAATCTCTTCAACTGAAAATGCGCTTTGCAGCCTCAGCAGCTGCCCGCATGTCACCTTCATCCAGTGAAGCTCTTAAAGTTTCATATGGTCCCACTTTGTCTGAGTGGCTACAGTTCAATTCAGCGCTCTCAAAAAAAAATAAAATAAAAACCCCAGCAACAACCCGGCTCTCCTCCCCCTAAGCTGACTTGCTCCCAAACGCCAGCTCTGTGCACTGCTCGCTACTCACACTCTCAGCCTGAATGATCAATCTGCATCTCTGAAAACAAAAGAGAGAAGGGGTGGGCGAAAACAGCGGTCAATAATAATAATAATAAAAGAAAAAAGAAAAGAACCACAGCTCAGTGGTGGGGTGCGGGCGTCCCAGGATGTGTTTTTGTTGTCAAGGAGAAGCAACCACCGTGAAACACCAGCAGGAAGTGGAAAAGAAAAGGTGGAGGACATTCGTACTTCATGCAAGACAGTTAGGAAAAAGAAAGAGAAAACCTGACGTGCATCGTCAGAGGCTCAGTGAACATTTCTCACTTGATAGAGAGTATTAAAAGGCTGCAAAAAAAAACCCAAAAAAACCCCAGGTTTTGGTCGGTCGTACCTGAGTGAGCTCTGGTATGTCGTTTTTGTCTATTCCCACTTGCTGCAACAGAAAAACGACACGTTAAAATTTGAGCAAAGAGTCAAACTCAAGATTCATAACACAACTGTTTATGTGGCCATAGAGACGCATAAAGAGAACCTTTGGGAAGGCACTCAATCGGTCAAATTAAAGCAGGTTTAATTTAAAGCAGGTTTCACTGTCAAAATACGCTGAAAAAAGTTCATTGTTACTAACTTTAAGGAATGTTTGTCTCATCGACTGCAGAGACAGCCAGTTATTCATATGTTAACAGTTTAATATGTAGTTTTACTGATATGTTTTACCACAACCGGGCTTACATGTGTCCTGGAATGAAAAACGAGTTCGACTCCCCCTGCTCCAAACGGTACCTCTGCAATTTTGAAGAACTCAGACACCCGGGTCATCCGCGTCAGAAATCTCTTGTAGATCTCCAGTCCGTCTTTACACTGGCTCCTCTTCATCTGGAAGAATTTCTCTGGACAAACAAAACGGCGGAAAACGTCACCCTTAACAGAGACGACGCGCCGCTCAGCAAGGGGCCGTCAACAGTGTGACAAAAAAAAGACACTTCTGCTTCCGCCGTGGATGAAATTCCACAACCTTGCAATTATTTCGGGATTTGTAAACGAGTCCTCAGCAGCTTTAAGCTGGAGACGATGCGGGGAAACTAGGTCAAAATACACAGCTCAGCATTTTCCACTCATTCTTCTGAGCGCCGGAAAAATATTAAGGAAGAGGAAGAAAACAAATTTAAAAGGGAAGTCCCTTCAAATGTGCTATTTAATTTACTCTGCATTTTACCGGCTGATGTTTTCAATGCTGAAAACAATTCGCTTCTACGTATTGCCATGTCGACTGAAGAGAAAATCAATACTTTCAACGGGAAAAATGTGGAGTCATCAAATGTTACTGCATGGACAGAGAGGCTCTTTGTTTTGTGTGACTAAATTGTGGAAATATAAGAATGAATAACAATGGAAAAGAAGGAAAATATTATAATAAGTGAAAACATTGAATACGTCAGTTTATTGTTTTGTTTTTTTCTTTTTTCCGTTTTCTCTCTCTCTTTCTCTCTCTTTCTGGTTTTTAGAAATCTTTCGATTTCAAACGTGGAATCAGAGATGACCTTATGCTCTAAGAGTTTCCCAACAGAACGCTGCCAAAGGATCCACAACGGTCAGGATGGATGGAGAAAACGACTTTCACGCCAAGGACCCTTTCAAGCTTAAATGAAGGATTGTTTTCCAACATTGGAACAAAATCCGCTAAAAGAAAGCGCCTCCTCACCGAGCAGATTGATGATGCCGTCGTTGTAGCAGGCGTACAGCTTGATGAGATCTTTGAAGAGAAGGAGAAAGCAGGCGTTTATCACGCCGTTGTTCAGATCTTTGGGGTGAACCTGTGAGCAAAAAGTGTAAATTTGTTTTTTGATTTAGAGCCACAGACATTTGCACCATCTTTCCAGAAACACACATGAACTGCATAGAAGTACTTAATAACACACACACACACACACAAAACAAAATCTAACACAACCTTCTGGTTTTATTATTAGTTTAGTAATGATCATAAAACATAGGGCGTGTTTCCCGTGTCGCAGCGAATCCGGTGAGCGTTGTCGCCCTGCCATCGAGTGTCTCTTACCTCAAAATCCAAAAGCGAGTCGATCTGGCTCTGCAGGATCGGCATTCCTTTCAACAGCTTCTCCACCGACATGGTCCTCATCGCTCCGTCGGCTCTGAGATTCAAGGAGCAGAGGAAACGCTTACATTCGAGGAGAAAAGGTGAACTTTTCTACGACGACTTCTTCGGAAAGCTCTTCCCACGTCTGCCGCACGTGTCTTCCAGCTGCCTCGTTTCTATTCCGTTCAGGTTCGGTGCCCGTTTATGCAGGCATAGTGAAAACCTCATGTCTGCCAGCTACAACACATGGAGCTGTAAAATATCCAAATATGACCGAAACATTCATCTCTTCGCTCTGGAGAAGCTCCAGCGTTATCCGACACACCAAACGAGTATCACACCTGGATCCCCTTGTGAGGTGCGTCCCGCCTCAATGGATGAGGGGGCGAAAGGGAAGGAAGAGAATCCTTTAACTCTTGATAAAAACAATAAATGATGGAACCTTGGCAGCTGCGGTAAAACGTAACAAAGAATTGAGCAACAGTACCCCTTTTTAACTCGTCCAAAGTCGAAGGACATCTGTCTGTAGGCGAAGGCCTTCTCGTTGAGATAGCGGCTGTAGCGTCTGATGAACGTTGACATGTCGTAGCCTGCGGAGAACACATCCATATCATCATGTCTGCAGTGAGCCGTGTTCCCATTGTGCAAACGGATGAAGCTCTTTTTTTTTTTGAAGGATGTGACCCTACTCTGGTGACGATAAACGACGCTCTGTTTCGACATTGCAGTCATTACATTGTAGAGAAGAGAAGTCATGAATTTTTTTTTTTCACCAGTGAACAGACTGGATTTCTGCTCTATGTGCAGTAAAGCTGCTCCAAACTCATATCCATGTGGGAACTAGAATTGAGAAAACGCGTGTCTGCCCTTTAATTCAAGGCTCGACCATAAATGCAAAGGAACAGGCAGCAATAGAGAACAGAGGGAGTGAATGAACCATGGAGGCTGAATAAACAGCACAGATATTTATTTTCAAATAACTTAAGAGTCTTTCTTAACCTAAATTGTGCTTAAATTAAACTGATTTTTCTTAGTGGTTGTATCATTTTCACTTTTCCTCTTTATTTTTTCGCAATTTCACATGGGCGGGAATTTATGGGTAATTAATGTCAGTATTTTCTTTACAGCAAATGCACATTTACGTTTACTTCCAGCAGATGTTGAAGTTGGGTTCAAAGAGTCACACCTAAACAATTAAGAGTAGCTAGAAATGACTGATGTATGAATACAGAAATAAGGAAAAGATCATTTACTCAATAAGCCATGTTAGCGTTACTTCTGTTTGTCGTATTACCATTCTTCACAAAAATGTGTTGCAAAATGACTCATCCGACGATAACCCAAGGTAATAGAGGAGACAGCATGTTTTTCTAGAGTGGTAAGCGGCTCTTTTTTAAATATTTTTGAGTTCATGATGGTGCTTTATGTTCGTCGGCCTCTGTGGGAACGTTTCTTAACATGGGAAGCATTAAAAAGGTTCTTAAAATGCACACTTTGGCTCTGTAAACTCTCCAGTCAAGCAAGCAGAAACACATCTGAGACAGCAGGCTGTGAACCCAGCATTTATCAGCGTGGGTGATGTCCTAATTTCCATAGCAATCGGTTCCTCTGACTGCAGCAGAGACGACTTGTGGATGTCAAGGTGTATTTTGCTGCCTTAAGTTTTTTTTTTAAACTGATTTTAAACACTTATTTTTACGAGTCAATATAAAAAAGACTGAAATTAAAAAAAAAATACACATCCAAGTATATGTTTCCACATTGCTTGAAAGGATGTAAGAAAATCTGCATGTTTCATTAACGCTCAAGACCCAGATTATGTAATTTTGGTTTGTTCTGTCTGAGTGTTGAAGCTGCTCCTCTGTGGCTGTGTGTGACCTGGTAATTGTTCGGGTCGGACGCCACGCACCGTGGGAGCCGGTTTTGTCCAGGAAGTTGCTGAGGTTGAACAAAGTGTTCCTAGATGCCAGGAACTGGACGAATCTCTGCAGAAAAGGACAAATGCACAACGTCACATATTTATGGTCTTACGTTGGAGTTTATTTTTGCGCTACTTTCTAGTTTTTGTTAAGCATTCCCTGCGTCTGTCATGTCTTTAAAATCACAGTGGACTCGTTTCAGAGGAGTCAAGCAGCTCTCTGACAGCATAAAGTGAACAGGCTCAATGTTACTGATATTTAAATAAAGATGAGGGTAAGCATTAGTCTAAGGTGGACACATAATGGGTCAGAAAACTAAAATGTGGTGCAAAAATAAACTCTAATGGTATTAAGCCATAAAGAATATCCCAACTTCTTGTCTACCAGGAACAGGAAGCAATTTAATGAAACTTTGATGGAAAGAAATAAAAATCTCTAAATTTACAAACCATTTGTGACATGTAAGTTTGTTCCCTATAATGAAATTATAGTTATCACGTCACTATAATTCAGTGGCCCATGCCAACACAATGCAGTTGTCCTTGCTCCTGCTGCGACGTCAACAAGGTTTATGCCGTTATTGTGACGTTGCTGAAATATCCCCTAGTTTTTTCACAAGCAATTTTCATTCCAGTTTTCCCGGTAGAGCTTATAAAACTGTGTTGTGGTTTGTTGGTAGAATCTGGGTTTATGGCAGCAAGCCGGATTGTCCTTTCCGTGAGTTCTATGCGACTTTTTCCCCTCGTCATCACAATTGCGTATCGTCTCATGTTAATATTGGCTCACAGAGCGTCGACTGAAACTTCTTTTAATGCACAATCGGTGTTCTGTTTTGCATTTAGGGCTTCACAGCAAAATCTAGGTCGGCTGGTGAGCTAAAACAGCAAAAAAAAAAACATATATAAATGTATATATATCATGCTTTCTGTGTGCAATTGGTCTAACCTCGTTGCCGTGCACCATGAGGTGGTGTGTGGTGATCAGGGCTTTGAAAACCACCACCCAGCTGGCGTTGCCCACCCTCTCCAACAGCGTGTCTGCCATCTGGGGGACGTTCACGTTGGAGTCCTGGGTGGCCTGGATCAGGTCTGAGGAGCAGAGGAAGAACAAACATGAGGTCGGGCGATGATACAGTGCTGGTGCTGAAGCTTTTGAGAATAACGCAAACAGATTGGCGGAAGGAGGAAGACAGATGACCAGAAAGCAGATGGGAATATGGAGAATAACTGTGGGGACATTAAATATCTGCTTCTGCGTCGCTCAGACTCACTCTATGTGTGAAATTACACTGTTTAGTGCCTACTAGTGTTGCTAAAAATCATTTAAATGTCCTGGTATTTAAACGAGCAGCTTCCTATTTGGAATCTAAGCTCGGGTTGTGAGCTGAGGTGGTTCTCATCTCATCAAGCCTTGCCGTTGTTTCACATTCAACAGAAACGCGTTCGCTTCACATTGTGATGCTTTTGCTTACTGTGTGAGTCACACTGGCTGACGCTTTGTTTGGTTTCTGCAGCAGAGCTCTTCAGCTAGCTTAGGGAGCCAGAAAGAGAGAGTGGAATATTCCACAGCAGAAAGATGCACAAAAAGACCAGATGACTGCAGTCAGACTGAAACCCCTCAGAAGATAATGAAACAAACAGCTGTTTTTCAACTAGCAACTAATTCCTCATCATTATATTGTCTGTCTGTCACAAGCGGCGTTTCCATCTACAACAGTGCGCAAAACATTGCCAATATTCCGCTAATGTTGAAAAAAAAGACAACAACACAATTTTGCAACTGCGATGATGTATCCATTAAATAAGAAATGCAATCAATCTCATGTGTGAATAAGTTTGCCATTAAAAACACCTGCCTGCCATTACCCACCAACTACCTCCTGTCGTCTTCTTCTTTGTGGTTTGCGCCAGTGGTAACATCCGGTTGTTGATCATGTGACCAGTGCAATGCGGAAAAAAGTGTCACTATTTTTGATACAGCCCCCAAAACGCCTCATTAAAAAAAACAACGTATTTTTTAAAATCCCTTCTGCAAATATTTCCCCGCCGGCCGCAAACACCGACTCCCGTTTAATCCCGTTGTGTTTGCTTTTGCTTTGCGCTCTCGTTTTTTGACAAATTGCCTTGTGCGTTTGGTTCTGACACTCTCAATTCATCGTGGCGTGTCTGAATCGGTTTGCACTGGTTAGAAATATGAGACAGGGAACAGTCACAGTGTTATCGCCATGCTTGGCGTTGAATGGGCCTTACAATGTTTTTCATTGTTCCAGCTGACAGCTCATTTGGCGAAGCCCGTGTTTTCGGCCATTTAGCCGAGCTCAACAGCTTAGCCGCCACTTTTCTATACATATTGCTCTAATAGCATTCTCTGAAGACTGAAGGAAGACCGAGGTTCATTTGACCTCTGGCAAGTCGGGCGGCTCCTTTTGCTTCCGCTGTCGTGTTTCCATCATGCAGCAACAACAAGAGCACATTTCCTGTTCAGTCGTAAGACAGCAAGAGCACCGGCACACACGCGCACACGCAGGAGTGTGAAGGATAATCCCTACAGGGCCGATGAGTCAGCAGCCTGCATCATCCTACACTCTTCGTGTCCCTGTCTCCTTCTGTCTGTCAGCCCGTCTCACTCTCCGCCCGCTTCTCTCTCTGTTGCCTCCTGTTAAGAGTCAGTGGCTGTGCTATGACTGCGGGGACAAAACGCAACACCTCTTATTGGCTCAGACAAGTGTCCCAGGACCAAGAGGGAAGCTACGTTTACTGATCCCATGTACCCAATCGTGCTCATTCACAATTACACACATGCAGCAGTGTGAGTGAAACGGAAAGACAGAGAGGAAGTGCTGCAAACAAGATTGAGTGTAAGAATTCATACAAATTATCAGCATGAATGACAATTAGCTTTTGTGTGCATGCTTGGATTAGGATTTCATTTATTGCCACATAAACCAAATGACCTTTACGATGACTACGCCAGTAGTATCAGCCAAGGGACTACTTTCTGTATGCACACGTGAAGCACACAGATGTGTGCGAGCGTACCAACGCCAAGCTAACGCCATGCCTTTAGCAAACCCACAACTTAATCCCCATTAAACCAGGTCAAGGTCTGGTCGTGCTGTTCAGTGTATCAATGAGGTGTCACCTGTTTCTGTTTGTTTCTCAATATGTGAGCAATATCTGTACATATGTCTGAACAGTGTGTATTTTGGGCAGTTGCTGGAGCAACCTGCAGTCAGTTTTGACACAAGACCGCAGGAGGAAAGGCGAAGCAGCTGGCGTACGCCGACTGTCTTGAGCTCTTTACCCAGCTGACCTGCGCCGGGTCGGATAACTGCCACCGAATCTGGGTTCCTCCACGGCGCCTGCCACACCCGGCAACACACAGCAGGACTCCGGTTTCGACGAGCAGCCTGCAACGCATCGATAGCTGTAAGTGATCTCACAGTGCCGGAGCACAACTCAGGACGAATCCCCCAAAAGAAGCACTCGCTGCAGGAAACACTCTATCCTCTGCCTCCCTTCCTTTCCCACAGATACTGAATGGTGCAAAATACCTACTAGAGACATGCCAAGGTGGTCGTCTTGGCAACAGCTCCCTCGAGCTTGGAGAGTGAGTTTAAATTCCTTTAAAATCATCCTGACAGCTTGTTGTCATGATGTTTGCATCACCTGCCATGACGTGTCCCGACTGTCTGGATTCACCTGACCGCACACGAGACCCTATAGGATTTCTCTCCATCTGACATCCACTCCACGTCCTTTATATTACTCTGTCCATGTTCAAACAGACGACTCCTAAACATGGCGACAGACGTGTTCCAATGAGGACGCGACGCCCGCAGGTCGACCGATGGAGCGCTGAGCGGCTCATGAAGGGAGAACCGGAACCCTGCGTTTATTTTTAATCTGCTCTCACCCTCAGGCAACGTTTACGAAGGAAAGAAAGAAAGAAAGAAAAAAATACCCAGAATGCACTGTAGCGAGCGCAGCATAGCATGGCATCAACGTGTTGTGGCAGCCAAAGGCAGAGGGTGCCAATGGGATGCGGACATTGTGGAGTCTGGATATGACATCTGAGGAAGAAGCTGGCAGCCATTGGAACCTGCTCTGCTGACTTCATATGGACACTCAGTCTACTGTTTGCTGTGCTGCAGCTTCTCTCCATGTCAATAGTGCATTAAAAAAAACACTAAAAAACAATCTCATCTGTATACCGGACATTCATCCAGGTCGTCAGTTATTCACAGATCACCGAAAGCAATCATATGGAAAGATATGAAAAAAATATCCGTATTGACATGACGATAAAACCAAACCTGGTAACAGGATTTAATGGTTTTAATATTCAAACACAACAGTGTTTCAGAGGTTGGAATGATTTTAAAACACATTACAGGGTCCTTCACCAGTTTTAAATCGTATGTGGGAGCATTAGATCCTTTGTAGAAAAAGGAAACTAGTAATGAGGGCCTTTATTTGGTTCACAAAATTGAAAAAAAGAAGCATTTTAAACCCTCTTTTGGCAATGTGAGCCACTTAGAAAGAGATAAAGATGAAAGTTACAATGTGTGAACTGGTCAAACCTAAACTGGAATATTCCACATTGGTGCTTCTACACAAGATCCCATGCAACAAATTCTGTGACATGTTTCTTTTCCTCCGGCACAACTCAGTAGTGGGGCAATGATACAGCAAGAAACACGAGCTTCACTCTATTATTGATATGCGGTTGGCTGACATACGGTTAGCGAACAGCATCGCACAACCAATTACAGTACTGTGGAACAGCATTTGTCTCCTTTCAGATTTCTGTTGTTTTTTTTACTTTTTTGTCACTGAAATCTTTTAGATCATCACACAAATTTGCATATCAGAAAAAAAAAATAGTCTGAGTAAATACAAAATAAAGCTTTCATTTGATGAGTTAAGTGAAGGAAGCCAACTAATGTATCCCAACCCCTTCGTTTTGGTCCATTTTCACCAGTGTACCATCAAAAGATGACAAGAGCCTGTCTGGCAACGCAAAGTAGGGAAAAAATCGGAAAGATCGACTTATCAGGCCTCAAACCAAAGAGATTCAAGAATGGTAATGGCGAACCAACCAGACACTGTCATAGTGGATAAACAACAGAGGAAAGCCGTTTTGGTAGATGTAGCAATACCAAGTGATTGTAACATCAGGAAAAAGTCGATTGTCAGTTTTTTGAAAATAAGTCACCAAAGGGGTCTGAAAAGTCACTAAAAATGGCAACAAGGTTGCTAAGTTGGCAATAACACTTTCCCTCATGCAGACCACTGTACCCACACATCGTTATGCCCCTCAGTCTGTTGGCTGCGCCTACTTTGGTGGAATTTTTCAGAAATTGTTTAGGGTCATTGTTCGGCTTCCACAGGGGGCCTCAGTTACACTTCAAGCTAAAGCAGGACAGTGATTCAAAGTTTTGAACCTCAAGTTCAAATCTGAATGGTTCAAAAGAATAAGGTTTCAGATTGGAATAGTCAAAGTCTGTATCCAATGGAGATGTTGTTCCATGGCCATATGAAAATGCCTGACGACAGTCACTACTGCGCCACAACCAGTCATTTGGTTTAAGGGACAATTACTTTTGTTTTTGTAGGGCTAGTTTGATTTGGATGACTTTTTTCTTATACTAAATGGGCATTAAATATGCAGCGACTCTTACGCTACAGTTTTTCCCCAGAACATCCCATGAAAAGATCAGAAACAGAAACTGAGGGGCAGCCTGACAGAGGAGAGCACATCTAGTTGCTACTAAGATTTAGAGAGGCAGAGATAATAGTGTGACGGCGTGGAAGATATTCGACTCGGCTCGTTAATCTGGACCCACACTGATGGCAGGGCACTCCACCTCCCACGCTGTGTTTGACATTACACAGATACCCGCTGAGCGATCGAGTCTGCAGTACATGCTAAGCTTTATCAACAACAAACTTCAAAGTTCTGCTTTGCAGTGAAACTGTTGGCAAAAATCACTCCTCACTGGGAAAACAAGAAAAAACAAGAAGGGAGGACCAAAGATGAAGGGGGCAACCACACACTGTGAACACAAGTGATTTTGCACATTTTA